GGCATACTTTTACGATGGTGGATCAAAGTATTTTGATTTGACTATAGAGCGTGAGAACACGCACACAGTCATAATTATTTTAGTGTGAATAAAACTAGCATCGAAATTACCTAAACTTGACATGCCACGCTAGACGTAAACGCTCTTAAGTACTACAAATAGAGATAAACTCATCACGTGACCGTTGTCTCAGGAAGAGTTATCACCCGCTTCGGCCCGAATTAATCTAGACGGAATGTGTGTCAAAATATTGCATTAACACCACATTTCCGTTGAATTTCTCATTTCAAAGGCACCCGTTTGTCGTACAACCGTCTCAAAGGGGCAAGATTTCAGAATACCTGAGAAACGCCGTGAACGCAGAGATTACACAGCGTCTCCGTTTTAATTACAAATGTAATTGAGAAACATGATGCGGGATTACAGGTGTACCTGTGTAATCCTTTCTGTTCTTAGTTTTACGCCGGTTAGGATTATGGTACACTGGCGCAAGTAGATTTTGCATTTTCTCGTTTCATAACTACGGGGTTACCAGAAAAAATCCGTAAAACACAAATAAATAAATGTAGAGAAGACAGTAAATTACTGGTATTTTAATTAAGTTAATTATGTAATTTAGGGAAAAATCGATGCTATAATCACTACACTATTAGCCTAGGTGCAGACCACCGACTTTAAGTTGGCCGATAGTTGGTTTGGGCTGTTTGTTGGTCAGTATGGAGATGTATGAAAGTGCGCACATTTGGTATCGGCTGATTCTTCATACAAATTAGAATCGGGCCCAACTATCTATCTACTAAAAGTCGATGGTTTGCGTCTAGGCTTAGGAATTTAACCTGAATTTAAAATAAACAAGTAGCCTTTCGTAGGTTAATAAAATTTATAATATAAACTCGTACAAAGGTGGTCAAAGTCACCTAAATCATTCCCGAAGTGTGCCCCAGCCTAACCCTATTCTTTACCACACAAGTGCGCCGCTACACATGTAAATACGTAATTGAATTAGCGTATCTTCATGTAGAATACTACTTTAGCGTTAACGTTCAACGCTTCGGAGTGAACTTTTAGCGCTCCTATTTAACTTTTGCGGGATAATCGAGTTATTTGTTGGCATTAACGTTAATACAAAATTGTGGGTAGTTTGCCCGTGTATTGTATTTAATTGGTGCCTTGTCTGGAATAAAATATTTATTTGCCGTTGTAAGTGGTTAAATTGGACGCTTTCATAAATAAATACAGGCTTTTAAAAGATTTAACAGTTAATAACTTTTATTACATTTTAAATGTTTTGGTTAAAATTATTTTGAGTACTCATTTAATCCACAAGTACTCACTTATGTGGAATAATTAATTTGACGTTCGTTTTCCATTAATCATCGTGCAGAATTTATTTTGATTTGATTGAAGTTTTAATATAATTAAGCATTTATTTATTACCAAAAAATATGTACATACAGTCAAGTAATTTAATTCGTGATAAGGCTGAATATCGTACAGCCTAACTAGGACTGAAACTTTGACCCCTAAATGGTAGTTAAATAATGTTCAGTTCGGTCAATCCGAACAAACCACAGATGGCAAATTCACAGAAATCAGAAGCACCATTCTAATCATTCGTAAGATAAAAGCCAAGGAATGTACCTACTAAATCACTCAGTGGAAGGGAACTTTTATAATGTATATTCCGGCGCCCTTCGGACCGCTAATGGAAAAATTCCCTCGTTAATATTCATAAGCGAACAACAGTTTCTTGATTTATCTGACTTACGCACACGCGTTAACATGATCGGGCGGAATTTTTAACTTTCGCAATTATTGGGGCTTTAAATTTTCATGAAAGTTGCTGTTGACGGACTGGCGTGGTGAAGAGAGAATGTACGTACCTACTTATCTGGCGGCTTAGCATGTACAGGAAATTAATCTTTATTGTATTGGTGTTAAGCTCAATCTTGTTTGACTAATTCATAGGCTGGGTAGTGAAGTATTAGGGCATTCTAGGCATCTATCTACTTGAAGTGACAACACCTACAAAAAAAAGTTTGCTGAGCGATTTTATTAACAGTTTTAAGGAAATTGAATACATTGAGGTTGAATGCAGGTTAGTAGAGTCTGCCTGCAATAACATTTCAATTTCTCTGCTTTATGATATCAGTCGTTTGTAGAGAAAACTTCATACCGTCTGATTCACTGAAGCTCTAAATAAGCTACTAATGAGGATAATTTTATCATGCGTTAAAACTAGAGCTATTTAAATCTATGATAAACACGACAATAGATTATTTAAAGGAGACAGCATTGTGTGTTTCTTCGAGATCAAATCAGAAATAAGGAGATCTCTATACGGAGTAAAGTTACCGACACACCCAGATTCACTTATAAAAGCTGCTAAATGTGGACCGCTTCCAATTGGTCAATCTGGAAATTCATTCATTCTGGGAATTCATAGGTCATCTATCTAAATAATAACTCAAAGGTGACTGACTGACTCACATAGTGATCTATCAACGCACAGCCCAAACCACTTGACGGATCGGGCTGAAATTTGGCATGTAGGTAGATGTTATGACGTAGGCATCCGCTAAGAAAGGATTTTACGAAACTCCACCCCTAAAGGGGTAAAACGGGATCCACGCGTACGAAATTTCGGGCGGTAGCGGCCGCCCGGAACACAATATGACCGTCAGTGGACAACCTGGCTGCTTATTTATAGCTGAAATTACTATAAATAGACATAAAAAGCAGGAATTACTAAACCACGTTTCAATAAATATTTACATCGTGAGCCAGAATTGTTTCATCGAAGAAATTTTCAAACTTTTCTGTCAAATAAATGTTCATCTTATTGTTTCAATTGTTTTCTCAATCCTAATAAATAGAAGCCCTGGCCTATGGCTTACTCCAGCCTCTGTATAACTGTATTAGGGTAGTACATTAATAGTATTCGCCGAATGCTCTCACACAACAACAGAACATATCAATCGATGTCACTATAATGGAGTGAAGCTATTTTCTCTAATAGATTCCACTTTGTTACTTGTGCTTTAAACAGTAATGTGATCGTTAAGGCCCTTTCAGAACGTCTGGGCTGTTTGTGGGAGAACTTGAAGGATTAAGGGCATTTAACGGAGGATTTAGCGAGATATGAATTTAAAATGGTAGTTTGATTGTAGTTGGAAGTTGGGAGGCTTTGGGAGTTTGTTATTTAAGGAACAAGTCACTGTTGAGAGGTAGGTAGTAAGTACATTTTGATTTTAGATCTGGATCATCGTGTTAAGTGGGGCATGATAGAATTGCGTGGTTTATAAAATAATTTCATAATGGAGACGCCTTTGAAATTTTAATAACACATTCTCTTGTAAGGTTTTTCTAGTTTTAGTGAGATTGAAATAGTGAAAATGCAAAAAATATTTTTTGTTAATACTTTTTATAGTACGTAACTATTTTAGAGTAGGCGCACACCGTTGATTTTTCGTCGGCCGATAGTTTAGTCTGGCAGTTGATCAGCATGGGCATGTATGGGAGTGCGCACACTACGCCGATTAGATTTGGCCGATTCTTCATACAATTTAAAATCGGGAACAACTATCGGCCAACTAAAAATCAACGGTGTGCGCCTACTCTTAAACAAATTTTAAAGCAAAAAATAAATAAAAATGTACCTCTTGCTTGATAAAGTTTATCACCGTTTTGAAATGAACTTTATAAGTATGAGAGTCAAAATCAAAATTATTTTTATTCGTAAAGACTGATTGAATTAGTATGACTTACAAATTGTAGCAATAATGACAATCCGGAACTAGCTACGCAGTTATTCATTGAAGATTAAGGCTGGTTTGCACCATCTTACTTTAACTGAGATAAACGTCAAATATCTGTCAAACTCCATAAAAAAAACNCCGAAGGCCATTTCTAAATTACAGATGCCGTATGTTTTAATTTCGCTGTCATTTGCCGCGTACAATTTAAAATCGCAAGACTCAGTAAAACCTTTTTTTAAACATTTTTTTGGAATTACCGATATATTGGCCCCGGTGTCAACTAAAAAGGTTAGCCTAGTTAAATTGTCCCGAATTAATAACCGATGATTTTTAGATACCTGATTCTGAGTACATTCGTCCACCGATTCCGAACGTACCGCACTCAAGTTTTCCGCATTTTCCTCTCGCCAGGCGCACGGTTGCTCACAGCTTCTCGCGTTCCGTCTGTATCGGTAATGGAATCTGCACAGCCAATCAGGATCTCCCGGTGTCCTCCTCCTACGCGAACTAGCCCTGCTTCCATCTTGTCCTCCGTTTCGGCTTCTCGAACGCCCGCGACCTTGCACCTCACTGCGCAGCGCTGCCACTTCCAGCACCAGCTTATTCACCTGACTGGCCAACTCTGACAACGTGTTCGACGCGTTCGTCTGTGCTGGTGTATCCGACACTGCTGCGATCTCGAAATTTCCGCTGTTTTCAACTACTTTGTCAGCGATATTGGCCAAACTATCTAACGACTGATCTTGGCACACTGTGATGACTGCTCTGACTGCGGCCGGCATCCTTGATGATAAAATGAAACAACGGTCTGTTTGCTATTACGTCTATTTGTGAACTGGCGAACCACACATCATACAGGAGTATTTATAATAAGTTTAAGGTTTACCCTCCATACATAACACCTCCACCCTTATTTAATACATTGAAGTTCAACTAACGAATTCAACCAATAACTAAATTAATAACTAAATTATGCTATGAACAATGAACTGAGCATAACACATTATGTAACAGGTCTTCACTACAAACAAATATTTATTCATATAAGTATGACTCATGAAAAGTAACATTTTAATTTAACCTTGTTTCATATAATAATTTTATTAACAATTACCTACCTAACATCGGACGGAGATAGGTAGCCTAGGCAAGGTACAAAGTACAAACGTAGACATATCATATTTACAAGAAATCTTAAAGTAGTAGATACCTACTCATTATTATACAATACTATTATAGTAACAGCATACTGTTATAAAGTATTATTATATTGGATTATGAGTATCCATATCGCTCTGGGGGTCTACGCGTACGTATTGGGTAACGAGGCTCATTCGCGATGGGCAGGGGTTCATGGGTTGGACCTGTGTGTGCTCCGGTCTGGTCCTGAGACCTAGTTACTTCCGACCCAGACACTTCGCATTCGCTAGGGACCGGGCCCGTGGGCCGACTACTGCCCTCGCTCCCCNCCAGGGACCGGGCCCGTGGGCCGACTACTGCCCTCGCCCCCCACCGACGTCACCCGCCCACCGCTCGGTGTGAGACACGCAGCTGGATAAAAAACCGGTTTCCTCAGACTCAATTCTTCCTTTTCATTCGTACCTGTGCTGTTTACAGGGTCCGTTGAAGTCATTTGGGACGTATTTACTTTACATTTCAATCTCATTTGATCGGCGTGCCTATGTACCACTGTGCCATCGTCTAATTTTACATTATAATCTGTGTTACCTAACTTTTCGATAGTTAAACCACTTACCCACTTACTCTGCGGATGATACACCCGCACCCAGACGGAGTCGCCGGCCTGGAAGCCGCGCCACGAGCCGCCCGCCGCGCGCTGCTGCCGGCGCTGCGCCGCCGCCACCAGCTCCTCCCGCGGCGGTTTCAGCCGGTCGAGTCTCGTTCGCAATAATCTACCTTGTAATATTTGCGCTGGACTTTCCTTGGTCGTACTATGTTCCGTGGTGCGATAAATTAATAAAAAACGTTGTAAGGCCGCATCTACGTCTGCTCGCTGTGCGACCGCTTTTTTAATAACCTTTTTACATATTTTTACAGCATTCTCAGCCAAACCGTTAGAAGCGGGGTGGTATGGTGCAGAAAAGATGTGTTCTACGCCATTGTTTGTTAAAAAATAATTAAACTCGTCGCTACTGAACGGGGGCCCGTTATCGCTAACGAGTTGTTTAGGGATACCGAAACGAGCCCACATTTCCCGTAATTTATTTATTACCGTTTTAGCAGTCGTAGTAGGCATCTTGCAGATTTCGATCCATTTAGAACAGGCGTCTATAACTACTAAGTATTTCTCGCCACAAATTGGCCCTAAGAAATCTACATGTAGCCTCGTCCACGGGCGGGCCGGCCATGGCCACGGCACGGGCGCGTGCTGCGCCGGCGCCGCCGCCTGCTCCGCGCACACGGCGCACGCCCGGCACAGCGCCTCCACCGCCTCGTCTACGCCGGGCCACCAAACGTAGCTGCGGGCGATGCTCTTCGTCCGCACGATGCCCATGTGTGTGTCGTGTAGTTCTCTGAGTACGTCATCCCGACAAGTGCTAGGGATCACGAGTCGATACCCCCACATAAGACAACCCAATTCTATGTATAACTCGTCCCGTCTATTGTAATAAGGTTGAAGCTCGCGAATTTCGACTTCGTTCGGCCACCCGTCTTTAACGTAACTTAACACGCGACCTAGAATCGGATCTTTCCTAGTCCCGTCTCTGATATCCTCGTATTTAAGTAGTAATGCTTCCGAAGCAAAATGTAGATAAGTCTGTTCAGGTTCGTTTGACTCGTGAGTAGTCGCGTTCAGCGCTTTGTAACTTTCCAACATGCGCGATAATGCACCGGCCGTATTGTTATCAGTGCTAACATATTCGATAGAAAAATCGTAGGCCGACAATAACAACGCCCACCTTTGCAACCTACTAGCCGTCATGCTCGGTACACCTGTATCCGGGCCAAAAATGCTTACAAGGGGTTTATGGTCCGTCCGCAAAGTGAAGTGTCTACCATACAAGAACTGATGAAATTTTTTTACAGCAAAAACTATAGCAAGGGCCTCCTTGTGAATTTGGCTGTAATTAATCTCGGCTCGGGTGAGCGCCCGCGAGGCGTAGGCCACGGGCCGCTCGGCGCCCGCGCCGCGCTGCGCCAGCACCGCGCCCAGCCCGTGCGCGCTCGCGTCGCACGTCAGCACGAGCTCGCGCGACTCGTCGTAGTGCACCAGCACGTCCGCGCCGATTAGTAGCCTTTTTACTAACTTAAAGCAACGATCATGAATATGTTCCCAATGCCAATGTTTTCCTTTCCTAAGCAAATCATATAAAGGTGATAAATGAAAACTTAAGTTTTTTATAAATTTGCCGTAGAAATTAATCATCCCTAGAAATGATTTAAGTTCAGAAACATTTCTCGGTGGGAGAAGGTTTACTATCGGTTTAATTTTGTCTGGATCAACTTTAATCCCTTGATTACTGATTATAAAACCTAAATATTTTACCTCTTTGTTAAAGAAATCACATTTCTGTTTTTTTAATTTTAAACCATGGTCCTGCAATATTCTTAGTACATTATTTAGGGTTTCCAAATTCGATGAAATAGATGTACCTCCTATTAAAATGTCATCCAAAAACACAGTGACATTGGGCATGTGGGCAAATAATTGTGACATAATTCTTTGAAATATTCCTGGACTCGACGACAGTCCGTAAACAAGTCTATTATATTTAAAAAGACCTCGATGAGTATTTATCACCGTTAAATTACTCGTATCATCTAACAATACCTGATTGTAAGCTTGAGATAAATCCAGCTTGGTGAAATAGTTATAACCGCTTAATTTAGTGAGCAAATCATCTATTTTAGGCACAGGGTACTTATCTACTTTTAAAACTTTGTTCAACGTCACCTTATAATCAGCACAGATACGTAAAGCGCCGTCCGGTTTATGTACAATTACCAGCGGCGTGGCCCAATCCGAGCAGTCCACGGGCTCGATGACGCCGGCGCGCAGCATGGCGTCCAGCTCGGCGTCCACGCGCGCGCGCAGCGCGTACGGCAGCGGGCGCGCGCGGCAGAACACGGGCGCGGCGCCCTCGCGGATGCGAAGTGTCGCCCGGCCCCCGTTGAAGCACCCCAACCCGCCGTCGAATAACTCCTTATATCTATCGACAACATCATTAACGATTACATTTTTTTGTACATTGTTCAATTCCTTTACTTCGTTTAAATTACAATTATTATTTAAAGAGTTACATTGTATAGGTATACTTGGTATGGAAATATTTAATTCAGCTATCCATTGACGCCCCAGGAGCGATGTAACCCCATCATTAAAAACGTACAAATCTAGCTTTCTACACGTTTTGTTATAATTTACTGTTACCTCCAAATAACCTAACGGCTTAACTTTACTTCCATTATAGAATCTAACCGATAAATCACATTTTTGAATAGGCAAATGTTGGAAAAATAATTTGTATGTATCAAATGAAATGCAAGATAAAGGTGAACCCGTGTCAACTTCCATTGACAAATTTACATTATTAACACATATTGTCATGCTCACCGGTCGGTACTGATTTAAGGACATTTGATAAATTGCTTCTTCATTTCCGTCGTCTTCGCTGCTATATGTAGCCCCGCCTTCGTCCGCTTCCTCACGATACGTTTCCAGCCGATTCACCTTTGACCCCGAGCGGCCGCCTCTGGAACGTTCGATGCGGTTGCCGGCGTTACCGCCGTGAACGCCACCGCGCCCCCATTGTCCGCCTTGATAGTTACCTCTGCGAGTTCTAGGCTCGTGGGCATCTATATTCTGTTGGCATACCCGCCTTAGATGACCCACTTTTTTACAACGGCTGCACTCGTATGTCTTAAATCTGCAGTCATTTTTCTTATGCCTATAATCACCGCATGCTAAACATCCTCCCTGTAGATGTAGCTTGTTTAGTGTCCCAGCTAAATCCATTCCCGCGGAACTACGTCGTCCCGCCGCCTCCGGCCCCGTCCGGCCCCCGGGCGCAGCCGCAGCCCGCGACGCCGATGCGCCCTCGCCGCCGTTGTGCCTGCTCACCGCTGCTGAATCTCTTTCCGCCGCTTCCATGGAGTTCGCTACTGACACTGCCTTTACAAACGTAATTTTTCCCTCCGCAAACAACCGCTGTCTGATGACGTCACTCATTATTCCGCACGCGAATTGGTCCCTTAAATTCTCGTCCAAGCTTGTTCCGAATTCACAATAACGCGACAGTTTTTTTAGTTCTGACACGTAAACTGCCATATTTTCACCCACACATTGACGTCTTTGTCGAAATTTGTATCTTTCTGCTAGAAACGATGGACTGGGTTGTAGATGGTTTAACATCGCCTGCTTGACCTCTTCCAATGTCATTTCGGCTGGTTTGCGCGGGCTGCATAGATTTACTAGCAGTTCATACGCCTCCTCACCCATGAATGCGATAAGCGTCGGTAATTTGAGATCGTCTTTCACACTATTTACTTTGAAATACATATCCAGTCTGTCACAATACGACTGCCAATTGCCGTCCTTCACGTTGAATTCACTCAATTTCGACATAGTTCCGAATCACAAGTAAATTAAGTAACACTACGAGTAAATATAACGGTCGCGTCACTTTTTCAAGTCCACCCGCAGTCGCCACTGATAAAATGAAACAACGGTCTGTTTGCTATTACGTCTATTTGCGAACTGGCGAACCACACATCATACAGGAGTATTTATAATAAGTTTAAGGTTTACCCTCCATACATAACATAATGTACCTATAATATAATTATGCTATAATTTTAGAACTTTTAGGGAAACTAAATGTTAAATTGTAACCGATACAGCATTTAAATTACTTACTTATTCTATATTATTGTTCATGCAGGTAAAGAGTTGGAATCTCAAAAAGATTCATGTACCTTACCATTAATTTAACTATAGGTACCTTCCCAGTAAATTCCAGTCTAATCCTTGCTTTGTACACTGACCGCAGACCACAAACACAATGTAGGTAGGTACTCGTATATGAAGCATTGGCTATCAAAGCGTATTTTGGCGGTAAAACAGTTGCCGGGTGATTCGCGGCCATTACTCGTTGTTCAATGACCATTTGTCGCAATTACGCAGGTTAATCTCGCGCCGCCCGCCCAACGGGCTCGCCGCGGCGGGCTGAGTCTAGACTGTCAGAATTTATACGACTTTTCATAAGTTAATTATGTATAATGATATAAAAAAGTGAGAATGAAATAATTGTATCAGCTCAGTAGCTTGCAGCTTAGAGGTACAGGTAACTCGTAGTTGCATTAGTTTTCGAACCAAAATGGCTAATATTTTTGGTCATGTTATAATGTTCACGATATGCAGCGCGGTGAAATTACTTGACCGCAAGGTGTTATCAGTGGACTTCAGTGGAGTCGAGTCGGCTAAGATAATTTATAGTTCGGATGTTCAAAACAGAAATCTTTGGTATAAAAAATGTATTGCTAGGAACAAAATCACTTCTAAAATATCTTTGAATCCTATGGCCAATTAAGGCAAATTTTTTATGTCTGATAGTGTGTTCTGCTTTAATTCAAGAACTGAAAAACTGAAAAAATATCTAAGCATGGTTTTAGACGTTGGTAGACTATGACTGTAGGTACTATATCATAGATAGCAAAAAGTTTATTTCTCTACGAAACTTTCCAAAAGTTAATAGAGTCAAAAATGCCATACGGAAATGTGCATTTCCCAAAATCAATAATTTCGCACTGGCAACCTTATTTGGGCGGGCGTGCGAGCGCCGTGCGTCGCGCCGCTCTAAATCAAGCCGTGCGGCCAACTGACAACTAGCTACTTTTCAACTACCTACGTAACGTTGCAGTACGTCACTAAGTTACCGTAACCATGCTACGTCAGTTGCGGCTGCGGGTTTGAGTTTCGGCAATGACAATGATAATATTAAGCACGTGTATTTTATTCCCAGACGCACGACAAATTTTTTTACGCTCTATTTTTACAAGTTTTTTTGACTATTACAATATAAAATATTAGAATTCTCATGAGCGACCATGTGACTGAGTGATAACATGGGTGATTTTCCCGGAGTGGGCCAAATGAATGAACCAAATTCTTTAAATTGACCCTACCGGTCAACGAATCTGGGACCCCTTGCACTCAAGGCACTATAGAGTATACCATAGCACTGAGTCATATAAAAAGGTGTGAACTAGCCACGTGATACAAGTAGCTAGGCAATACATTTCGCGGCCGAGTCAGATGACGTCACCGCCCGCTGCGTCCCCAGTTTCTTTCATCAAATCCTAACATAGCTCACTACGATTATTCACACAATCTTGCTGGTGGTTCTCAACATGTAGGTAACGCTTTGTCTTTATTTATGGCCACAGTACGAAGTACTTAACTGCTGTACTGCAAAAAATAAAAGAATAAACAAAGCCTCTTTCACGTACCTACTTTTTAAAACGCATAAAAACATACACTCGAATTGAGAACCTCCTCCTTTTTTTGAAGTCTGTTAAAAATATTTATGTTGAAAAATATTGACAGTTCATGAAATCCCAAGTAATATTATAAATGCGAAAGTAACTCTGTCTGTCTGTCTGTCTGTTACGCTTTCCCGCTTAAACCTCGCAACCGATTTTGATGAAATTTGGCATAGAGATAGTTTGAGTCCCGGGAAAGAACATTAGGATAGTTTTTATCCCGGTTTTTGAAACAGGGACGCGCGCGATAAAGTTTTTCTGTGACAGACAAAATTCCACGCGGGCGAAGCCGCGGGCGGAAAGCTATAGAAAAAAAATATTTTTTTAAAAAAATAGTAAATGTACGAGTAATACGAGTATACCTATTTCCGTAATGATTTCAATAATGAAAGCACCTATACGCGGCACATTTTAAGCATTTTTAAATCTGTCGCTATTTTGTTACAATACATTTGCAATAGTTTGACAATCCAAAGATATAAAGGAAATAAACGATCCCCTTCTTACAACGGTAATCCCGAAAGTAGATGGCAATGTGGCGATATTTTCAAACAGGATGATTCAAGAGTTGGTAGCTTATAACTTTTTATCTTAGACAAGCTGACCCGGCGAACTTTGTTCCGCCCTAATGGCAATAAATAAGCAGACTTTTTTTCAATTTCGAACGGGATAAAAAGTATCCTATGTCCTTCTCCTGGCTCTAAACTACCTCCCTGACAATTTTCAGCTAAATCGGTTCAGCCGTTCTTGAGTTATAAGTGGAGTAACTAACACGACTTTCTTTTATATATATAGATAAGGTCTTATTCAAAAGCTTGAGGACTTGGCACTGAGTTTTAATAACTCAGTATACACAGTTTGTTGTAGCTTTTTTTTGCAGTGTCAGTTTTATTTTGTAAGAGGTGTCAACGTCTGCTAATAAGTATTACCTAAACCAAATAATAATCCAATAGTCATTTACAGCCTTACGTGAATAATATTATGTTAATACTAATCCTTGTTTTGTATTAGTCGACATTATATTCTTGAATTAATAAAAAACTGCATATAAGTCGAACTAGGGAATAATATCAGTACCTCTAAATAGCTTCCCCTGACTCAACGATTCGGTTCGTTCTATGTAACATACCTACGTTTTAAGTACAAAGCAATACAGGTCTAAACGACTTGATTGAATAATACTCATAGGCATAGTTCCAATACAAGATACTTTAAAACACACCCTGTATACGGCGATGCACCGGTGCATCTCGCGAGGGCGCAGTGGGCTGCAAGTATCGCCGCCTTAATCAAACCCAAGCAATTTATGATCGCCACACGCCGCCGGAGTGTAATTCTTCGAGAGAGTTTTATTACCATTGCAAGAGATATTACATTGTAAAACACTCGTATCGATTATTATATTTGATAAATACTTGTCTAAAAATACCATTAAATAGAAGATCTGCGGTTTGATATGATAAAAAAAATAAAAATAAAAATAATCTTTATTTGTAAGAGACTAATTAAATCAGTACTTACAAATCTTCAAATGCTCTTAAGGAGCCTAGACATGTCTCATTCTTTTTATGCTCTACCAGCGCTTCGAGACAATCAATTGGCAAGTGCTGAGAAGAAGCGCCGCAACAAACTCAGTCACCCACCATTGTCTGCCGGTTTATTTTCATATGACAAAAATTGGTCATTTATGTGTTTTTAACCAACCTATCTATTTAATTTTAGAAATAAATTAATCAAAGAATTTAAAATTACTTTTGAAATTATAAAGCTTTTGAAAACTATTAAAGCAATCTCATACGAGTACACAGCTTTGTTTCCTTAAGAAAACAGTCCTTTCTTCAGACAGAATATTTGGTAAAACAGCGAGTCGCAGAATGTCCCGTGTGGCTGGCGTATTGTATCTTAAAGTGTGAGGGCGGAACCCCAATCGAAAGTGCTTACATTGGAACTTACACCGGCCGGCTGCTCTCAGCTCGCACAATATCGCACCTCTCTGGATTGTGTAACGATTTTATTTCTATTGTCCGATAGAACGGAAAAATATTCATTCAATGAAAACCATTGAATTCTTGATATTTGTATGGTTTTTCTTAGTCTTAATGAAAATGATTTTGATTATCGTGAGTGGTTCATATTGCTATAAATTCTTTAGAGGAAAAAAAATTAATCATCATCGTCATATAAGTAATATGAATTTTACAGAACTGTTACATCTCTCGTACCAAGATGTTTCCATGCTACGAGCTACGAGTATGCTGCGACAGCGATAGATGTCCAAAAATATGAAAACAGTTGGCAGTCGCTTCACTGAAATACAGTTATATTGTTGTACTAGCTGACCCGGCGAACTTCGTACCGCCTTAGCGTAGAGATTTTCTTAATATTTTTTTCCGTAAGAACCATCCTTGGACTTCCACAAACATTTAAAAAAAAGAATTATCGAAATCGGTTCAGCCGTTCACACGTGATGCCGTGACAACGCGAAACGGGTTTCATTTTTATATATATAGATGCAAGATAAAGCGTAAATTACCTGCAAACTTTTATCACCAAAACACAAAGTCATCCATCTCTCTTATCTAATATCGAGGACAGGATAAACCCTGTTGAGGCAAGTTTAATAAAGCGATATCTTCCTAACTTTAGTGTCAACATTTCCCTAGACAGGTGGCAATCGATAAAGGCTTACCTAAGCTCACCTGAGCGGCGATGTCATATCGCCTTAGCTAAACCGACTTGCGGATAAAAGTGCACCACGTCCTGTGCTGCTCGTGCATTATTGAGTAACTGGCTTTTCATTTTAAGGGACAAAATATTTACAAAGGACAATGTACTTAGAGGAGAGGCGATAGAGTGTTTATGTCTTAATTTTGCTCGCGTTGGCGTTCTAGTAAGGCGAGATGATAAATGGGATGGTAGTAGATTGAGTATAAAATGAAAGTTGCACTAAGTATTTATTAAACTGAATTCGGGAGAAAACTATCTGTTGAAAAAGTAACAACAGAAGATTAAACTGGTAAAGTTTTCGAAGTGATATCATGAACGCAGATCAAAAGTCTGATAGTCTTTAGATTTAGCTTGTGTAAGAAAAGTTTCTTAACATTGAGAAGGTTTCGCTCAGATGTTGCATTTTAAACATTCAAGCTAGATAATAGAAACCGCATTCTGTATACAAAAGAATAGCTTTGGAAGCTTTGCGCAAATTGGACTTACAATGTAAAGGTTACTTGAGGTCTAGCAGTAGTTTAGTTTAACGTCTTGGTTAA